TAAAAAATAGGTTATCTTGTGAGTTGTGACCAAATACTTGTTAGCCTACATTCTACATGTTTAAAAAAAAAAACTATTACTGGTTACCCCAAGATGCCAGCTGTATGTTGAAACATTTCCATGTTAGAACCATGCTGATGAGATGCTTTTATTCATAAAGAATGAGGATAGGGAATGATATCAGAGTCAATGACAAGATTAATGAAGCTACTCTATTCTACAGCACCATTGTGGAGGAAAACCAGTTAGAGGCTGCAAAACACAATAATAAGAGCTGCAATGTAATAATTTGTTTTAAAGCACATCTATGGGTTTAGAAAGGCCCAATCAAAGTCCAAGACTGAGCCAAGTAGAAAAATTGTGGCAGCACATAAAGTAAGCTGCAAATGAAACTAATCTATGGTGTGGTACCTTGCTAACATGAATAACCGTTTCTTTAACAGCTTTTTGAATATATTCAGGAAGAAAAGGAAAGACTGCAGTGGAAAATACTGACATGTTAGAGCCAAGGCCACAGCTCCCCCTTCCCTCATTATGGTCTGGGAAAAAAACGCAACAGGAATCTGATTTAAGGAGTTTCAAAAGTCACTGACAGCAATGCTCATTAACATGGAACATTCCATCACTGGAACGGAAGTGTACTTGTTTTTTTCCTATCACCTATTGTCCAGGAAAAACTTTTTAAATCGTCCACAAAAAACATTTTTTAGTCTTTAAGAGAGAAGTAATAAACTAAATACTGCTGAGTCATCTGTATTCACCCCTACGTCCCATTAAAGAATTCCTTACAAGTTTGGGAAGCTTCAAAATGGGAAACTGTTCAGAAAATCATCTCAGCACTTCCATTAACCAACCTACTTGTTTGGCCTTAAGTTTCAGGCTTTAATTTAAGGCACTTGGAAAATGTTTTCTGAGCTACAACATTATTCCAAGATTTCAGGCCAAGCCAGCAAAAGTAATACAAGTTCAGATTGTGTAAAAGTGCTAAATATCAGTGTTTTTAACGACTGTCCACTGACTTAGCAAGGTTTAGGCTATTTGATATTATGGATATCTTTGAAAGATTAGGGAGACATCTTTTCTCACTAGCAGAAAATATATATCATATCTTGCTCTGTGATGTATTGCTGTCCTATCCAGGGTCTCCTTTCTCCCTATACACCAGCAGCAGATTTAAACGTATATTCAAGAACCTCTTGCTTTTAGGTGTGCTCGTCATAAAAGCATTTAGGCCAGTTTCTTACCCACTGATATGGAGGCCTATTAAATTATAAATCTAATGCAGTTTGCAGGAGTAACATTTTGGACAGGGAACCAAAACTTTCTGACACCCATGTTTTCTAAATCTGACCCTATAAGCACCAATGCAAACACACCATTCAGGCTCCAGATTTGAGTTGAACATAAATAACTTTTCCTATCTTTGCTCCATCGTTTTGTAAAAACGATCTAGAAATAAGTAAAAATTTCTTAAATTAAGTGTATTTACCATTAATTATTTTGAATTGTCAATGGAATGACTAGTTTTACTCTTAGAATAAGATAGATAATATGCACTTAAAATAAGACAATACCATTGTTTTTCTTATTTTAAATCTAAATTATTTTTATTGTCTTGTTCCATTGGAAAACTGTCTCACTTGCATCCTCAATTCAAGGAAAAATGCACTTATTTTAAGAAAAAATTACTTGTTTAGATTTCAATATTTTGCAGTAAAGGAGCTCACCATCCAAATCTTATCCTTTCTTAGTTTTAAGGCTACCCTTTACTGCAAAAACAGTGTTTGTTGGTTGTTTAAAATCTATTTTTCCAAATTAACAAATGCAAGTAGAAGAAAAAATCCCAAAATTTGAAGAAATAATTTTTTTTTTGTTCCTTTTTATATATATATATATTTTTTTACAAAAAGGCTAGTGCTACTCTTATTGGGATCAGGGTCCAATTGATTTGATCATATTTCAAAGAGTCCTTGATGACATGACCTATAACCAGGTTTCCAAGGTATTCTGGAAAATAAACAAACTCACAGATCTTTCACCACATTTAGAAGTGGGCATGAGGTTCTTCTCCACAGATTCATCTTTTTTTTTTCACCCAAACAATCTGCACTGTATGACCATTGTCTAATGTGACTAAAGCACACCTTTCCAGCAGGGCCTTCTCATGCCTTTATTATTACTTGTTTGAACTGATAAATGTGGCACTGTCATGCATTGGAAAATTTTACTCAAGAGGAAAAGCCATAAAAGGAAGTACCTACATGTTCAGATGTGAGCTTAAAAAGCCACCGGCATCACCCTCTTGTCTAAAAGCATACACATATCTTAGAGTATAGTATGTATGCTTAATTTGGAGCAAGTGAAAAAGTATTAATATATAACTTAGTCTGTGTTTCCCTAAGACACTTTAATCTGATTAAATGTCATACATAAAAAGGGTATTTTATTCCATGTCTCTGAGAACATGGCACCTATATTCCAGAAGATATTCATTATTAGAGATATATTTAACAAGATGCACCTGGTTCTTTGTCAGTTTTAAACTATATTAATTTCTTCATGGACATATTCAAATAAACATTCTCCCTTTTTGGCCACTTTCCTGTTGTCTTCCATTTTGGCAAATCAAACTACACATGTATGAGTCACAATGTTCTTTCAGACCACATGCAGCTCGTAAGGTTGCAGCAGTTTTGCGTGACCTACAACAGGAATTAAATTTTACAGCAAACTTCAAAGCCTCTTTCTTCTTTTTCTTCTTCCCTCTTCTCCTTTTTTTCTTAGCTGTTTCCGACTCCTCAGCTGACCCTTTGATCCCTTTAAATGGCATCCTTACACCTGAATGCACATTAAACTAAATTCATAGCTAATATTGCTTTGTTTGGTATTATTCACTGACTCAGTTATTCATTCATTTAAAACCTTTGCCTTTCTTTGGCTCTTTAAATAGTCAGCTGAATCTCTTTAACTGCTGTCCTCTTAAAGATCTGTGAAGTCAGCAGATTTCTAGAAGAGCAGGACTGCTGTTAACAGCCTCTATGACACAGCAGGGTGTGGTGTGTTCAAGGCAAATTCCTAGGGAAATTCTCTTACACCCACCACTGTCTAAATTAAACACATACATTCATTAAAGGTATAGTCTCTCTGGGCAGTAATGGTTATTAGCTCTCTCTTTGTTTGGCTGCCAAACAGGTATTAAGGGAATGGTGACTACAGCTTGGATGAAGGAAACCACAACATAAGAAGATCTGATTGGTCTATAAACTTATGAGCCAACCCTGTTGTACTGGTGGCTGTTCAAAATTAATAATATTTTTTTGTATCTTTGACTTTATTTTTGATATACCCAAACCAGTTGGTTAAAATGATTTAAAAAAACATATTTTGTTACAAGTTTTATATTAATTTATACTAGTTTAATTAAATCTTTGGCTTTTTGATATTGATTATAAACATTACCGGTACTTTGATTAAAACAAATCATATAGCCTGTTAAAATGGAATAATTTAAATTGGAAAGGCTAAAATCGTTTAGTTTTTAATGTTGAAGAGGAACAATGAATCTAACGTTTAAATCAGTTTATATTCTAGTAACTCCAATTATTAGAGAGCTGGGTCATCATATGTTTGGAAAGACTTTGTTTTCCAAGTTTGAAGTTTCTCAATTCAAAATGTCTGGAGTGGTGTTTGCTTTCCAGAGTAGCACAAACAAAAACCTTGTTATGGCTTAAGAAACATGCAAACTGAACTGAAAAATCAGGTCCACCCCTCGGTAATGAGGGTGGTCTCAGGTTCCAGTTCTCAAAAACCTACAATGCAGTGATAGAGTTGATTCCCTCCCGCTATCATCTCAAACCTCATCACCATGCAGGGGACCAAAACACCTGGTCAGCCAGGCCAACAATGATCCATTTTTTCGGTTTGATTTGCATGTTTCCTAAGCCATAACAAGGCTTTTGTTTGTGCCACAATCAATCGTTACACTCTATAAGCCTTGAAATCAAACTTGAGAAACTTTAAAGTTGGAAAACAAAGTCCAGTGGTTTGTTTTTTAAACTTTTTTTTTAACTTTGTTGGAATGACTATGACCTGGATGACCAGCATGACCTAGATGAGAAACAAAAAGTCCAGTGGTTTGTTTTTTAAACTTTTTTAACTTTGTTGCAATGACTATGACCTGGATGACCAACATGACCTAGATGAGAAACAAAAAGTCCAGTGGTTTGTTTTTTAACTTCTTTATCCTGCTTATTTTTATGTGTGCCTTTTTAAGCTGGCTAATGCTTTTGGCGCACTTTTTCAAAGCCTGTTTCTCGGTGGGCAATTAAATATTCACAAGGCCCTTTGCTGTTGTACTGTGATTCATACACACAGAACCAGTGTTTGTGGTGATAAAGACCTCAGGTCGAGGTTTTAGGTGCTTTTTCTTATGGTTTGTAGAAGGGTTCACCCAATATAACACTATTCTCTATTCAAGTTCATCTACTGTTGGTTTTAAGCTTCCTTTGTGTTTATTTAAACTTCCTCTGTGTAATTTATCCACATTCCTTCTAAGATACAGCTGTCTCATCAATATAGTATCAAGCTAATTGGGATGTTTTTGATATTCCTAACCTTCCTAAAACAGGAATGGTTTACTCTGGTTATGTGTCATCTTTGTGTAGAGTTGTATTGCTTACCAGGCGTTTTGACCACAAATAAGATGGATTTGCCGCTGGCGTCCTCGTAATACTGGAATCGCTCCACACAGTCATCCTGATCTTTATATGAGCAGTTTACAGCATTTGTATCATGGAGCACTGTGAGAAAATATCAAAGATATCAGTCAAAGTATAATAATCATAAGTATGTTCTTGCCTTTTTTGTAAAAGAAGTATAATTATGACTGCAGAGTAAAGATGAACACTTGAAGTGAGGAAATTAGACTGTAGATTATTATACTAAAGAAGCAAAAGCTTAATAGTATAGTAGGAGTGAAAAAAACTCTAGTGTTAAGAACTATAAGATACAGCAAAAGTTTTACATTTAAGTATTTTACCAAATCAATCGTTATGATTGATTTTTATCAATCGTTACATAATGATGGAACTGTCAGGGTCCCTATGTATGGGTCAGTGCGAGTTGTGCATCTCTACTAACCCATACGCAGGGACCCCGACAGTAACGATTGATAAAAATCTACATTATTAAAATGTACATAGTTAAAACAACAGAACATTTATATCTTGAACTGAACAATTGCATTTTGTATAATCTTTAAAACTACAATGTGTAATTTTCATAATATTAGTCGGACTGCAGCAACATGAAGTGCCCACACATACTGCCTTTCCCCTCCAACAACACGGAGAGCATCATGGTACAAAATAGCTTCCACGATGTTCGCTTTACCTATCTTGTCAAGTGATGAGCTTTATTTACATTAGATCGCAGCATCAAATCCATAAATCCTTCAATACTGTTGTCTCAAGTATATTGACAAGTATATAAATTGGGATATGAGAAGGTATCACGAATTGACCACTGTTTTAGTGGAGGCTGCTGAGACAAGCTTTCTAAATTAAAAGTGTGTGTGTGTGTGTGTGGGTCCATGGTTGGGGTGGGTGGTGTCGGACCTCAGCAGTCCTCTGTTCATCTCCAGCAGTTAGCCTCTAGAGCCTAGCCTTGGCCTGCTGTCGTCTCTTCCTGTTCTATCGCCCTGGCGGGCCTCTAAGATGTCACTCCATCCTCCTCACGGTAAACCGCAGCCACTCTCCCCTGTCTTTAGACCACTCTCCAGCCGGAGGACAATTCGGATCTTCCGCTGTTCTGCTTTAATCCTCCAGAGTTAGCCTCTATAGCCTCTTCAGGGCCATCATCGTTGTTTCCTGGTAGTCCTCTCCGAGCTGCCTGTGCTCCCCAGCTCTCTTGCTGAGGTAGCAGCAACAAGCTACCCCCTCTGCCCCTGATGGTCCTTAGCGCCATAAGGCGGTATATTTGACCAGCTCATCCCGGTTATGGTACTCTCTCAGCCCCTGTTCTCACACTGATTCCCCTCATACCCTCTCTGAGATCATGAACGGCGTCTCACCCTACCTCTGTCGTAAGGGGATTTGTCCCCCTGTTTTGGGCACTCTAATCAAAACAAACATGCACCAAAGGCAGGAGAAAGATGTGAGTCCACTCAGAAAAAAAAAACAACAACAACAAAAAAAAAACAGCACTTGAAATCATGCCTTTCTGTAAGAATTTTTTAAAACATTAACAATTACTTGCATATTTTGTCGTCATACACTTAACAATAACAAATCAGTCCTAACAATATTTGTGTATTACAAATCCTAACTTTGAAAAGCCAAGGCTTACCTATTTCATCAACAAGTACAATCTCATCCTTGCAAATTTGACTGCAGGTGTTATCGTCATGCAGCTTGCCTCTCTTGAAGTGCTTACATTCCACACACTCCCTATGAAGACAATTGTATTCAATGTAATTTCATCCAGTTAATGATAATTATTAACCAGATGTTTTGAATTAAGCTACTTTTCATGCAAACAGGTGGATTTGTAGACTTACTTCTTCATGGTACAAGCGTCTGGGCAAGTAGGGCACTTGTCACATGTGGCCCCGTAGGCCCCCGGCTGTGTACACTCACAGACCCCGCAAACACACTGGCCCCTGCCGCTGCAGAGTAGACCCAGGTTGGACATGCAGGTGTCTGTGCGTCGGGAGCAATTGCAGTTCTCGCCCTGCCAGTCTGGTGCACACTGGCAGAAACCGCAGTTACACACCCCATGGCCTGAATTGGGAAGAAGATTGCATGATTTTGATAAGCTGTAGCTGATACAGCAACACTTTCCACAGGTGAAACATCAAAACTCTCAAAAAAAAGAGGACAATTAACAAATGGGGAACATGGGTGTGGTATGCTAATTAAATTCTCCTTATTCTCCTTGTGAGTTTGTCCGTGAAAGGTTGCCTGTCTCTGTGTTGTCCTGCAATGGACTGGTCAATGGGCCTCTCACCCATTGACAGCTGCAGATAGGCACCAGCACCCCTCGCGACCCCAACTGGGATTAAGCGTGGATGAATTCCAGTTAGACTGTCAAATTTCTGGGTGGCATGAAAGATTGGGCAATTTAATACAATAGGGTATTTACTTCTTTGTAAAACTGTTTAAAATTAGAAATAAACAGTTTAATGTATATCAAATAAATAGACCATTGGTTCATTTATCAAAAGAAAACTGACAATGATTACCTGATATTAGTGAGTAATGTAACATAATGCAACAAATTAAATCAATATGTCAAGCACAAGAAAATAATTAATATCTACTTAATTATTTCATAACAGCAAATACTACAGGGATATAAGTTTACTTAAAATTTTGAGTACAGTAAAATGCTTTTTGTGCCTATGAAAAACAGGTACACTTTACTTAATTTGTTTAAATAAATTTAATTTACAACTTAGATGTGATTAAGTAAATGAATATTGACACAGGGGAATGAGTTGTTATATGCTATATGTTAATGACATATTTTGCCTTGAATAATTGTTATTGACAGCTTTGTTAGGCACGTGCTGCACATAAACCAACCAGAAATTAAACTTAAATAAACAACCCAAACAGGGTTTTAGCATTAAAGTTATGTTCCTTGATTCTGTTTTTCTACTACTATGCCTTGATTCTAACAACTTATAAAAGTTTGGGTGATCTTCTACAACTTATTCAATATGAAAGTGATTATAAATTTGCATCTTTTGTTGCTTTTAAGAAGTCCCAAAGCCATCGAATGATCACCTGTGCATGTCTAAATCTTTACATATTAAGTAACCACAGGCCTGTTTAAAATCAGCCATTAAATACCATAATAATAACATGTTAATATTTCTTGCCAAAACCTTCAGTGTTTTTTTTTCTTCTGAAAGTCCAGCTGGAAAAGCTCCTGACTGGAAAGAAGAAGCATTTTGTTGACGTTTCTAAAAACGACCACACGGTAAAGCTAGTTCCATTGTCTGGAGAAGGCGTCCTTTTATTTCTGGATCAATGATTCATGACGTGGGTAAAATTCAGCATCTCATTCCCTTGTTGTTGCTACATTTGTCCATGCATGCATGTGAGTCAGTCTGAGTGACAGTTCAGAAAAGCTGCGGTCCAAAACCGCAGAGAACAATGCCTGGATAAACAGCAGGACAGGAAGCTGTTTGGGGACAGGGTGGCTTGATAAAACAATGACCCCCAAACAAACAGTTATTACTACTTCACCGCAGTGTTGATGTCTTTTCATTTCACTATTCTGCAGCAGAAACCAAACGTCGCTCACATTTAATGAGGTATCTAAGGACAAAGACATACCATGTTCTGCAGAGGCCCAGACTTTGAACATTTCCAGTCCTCTCATACACATGCCCCGTCTCTGACCAAACATGGATTTATTTTTAGCCTCATTACACCACATAAACCCATGAGTAAGCAGAAAGGTATTTTCACGAAACTCAACAGACTTTTGGGAATACGGCAACATGTTTCTGGGTGAGCAAAGTGAGGAGAAGGGGGCTGGAGCGATTTATGAGATGTGATAATGTAATGAGGTACAAGTCAGTAGCCTGTGCCAGATTTTTACACTATGCCTGTAACCCTTGTTCTCTCTTTTGCAGTCCTGACCTATTTTGATTATGAACAAAGTTTCCTGGCAACATGAAAAAGTACTAACAATGTTAAATGGAAGCACTGGTATCATTTTCATGCTTGTTATTTATGTTTTGATAGAATCTGGATTTAATTAGACTTCTAATTATTTATTTGAGCAGTTCCTTTTCATACTAGATTGGAATACCACATGCAGCTTTATTTTGGATTTATTCTAACATACAAATGGACAAAATCCTGGATAAAATACAAAAATCTAAAAACATCAAATGAGCAAAGTGTAAACATAAAGAAATGAAGAAAAGCTGTCCCTTGAGGTTTATAAATGGTAATTTAAGCGTTGTTTTCCAAGTGTGTCATAGTCAGACCGAACCCTGGTGGAACTGTTTTAGGTTAGGGATAAAGAGAATAAAAAGTAAATAAGGGGAGTCAATATATACCATACAGTCTCCTCCTGTAACTCAGCCTAACAAGTAATTGTCTTTTCCGAAACACATTTTCCATTTGTGAAATTCATATGAACTAGTAATGGTGTCTCGATGCAGTTTCATACACTGTGGTCCAAATCAACCAAGCCATTTCTTAATAATCTTTTTTTTAAAGATCCTGACAATCAGGTGAGTGAATATATCAGCTGTTTAACTGTTTTATTGGTTTCAAACCTGTATTATTAAGCCTTATACATTATTTTACCTGATCCGTTTTCTCTTACAATGTACAGTAGTGTTAAAGTGTTCTTCCTCTAAATAAATTAATCTATTCTTATTTTCTAGAACTCACTGAATGTTTCATAACCTGAGTAAAACAGCTTTTTATAAGCAGCTTTGGAACACTTTTTTTGTTTAAAAATGCTACAAATCATCCATCCATCCATCCATTATCTGACACGCTTGTCCCAATTGGAGTTGCGAGGGGTGCATGGTGCCTATCTCCAGCTGTCTCTGGGCGAAAGGCGGGGTACACCCTGGACAGGTCGCCAGTCTGTTACAGAGCAACACAGAGACCAACAGGACAAACAACCATTCACGCACACACTCACACCTAAGGAGAAACTAGAGAAGCCAATTAACCCAACAGTCATGTTTTTGGACTGTGGGAGAAAGTCGGAGTACCAGGAGAGAACCCACGCATGCTCAGGGAGAACATGCAAACTCCATGCAGAAAGACCCCGAACCTTCTTCCTGCAAGGCAGCAGTGCTACCCAATTGCACGACTGAGCAGCCCTGCTACAAATCATTGTAGCCCTTTTTGAATGTATAACCATTTATGTTATGTCAGCTATGGGACATCTGTTCTCTAAGATCAAAGCAGGCCTTAACAAAAAATCTGACATGCAAAATGAAGAAACCTCTGACAACATGAAGTAGGCTTAAGAAAACAGAAGTTTTTATTAGAAAAAACTTCACAAAAAAGTTGGAATGGTTAAAATACTAAAGCATCAAAGATAAAAAAAAAAAACAACATACCAATATCCATACATCATGAATTTGTAAAGGCTGCTTTTTTTCTATAGGGTCTGGACAACTTATCTTATCTGAAGGAGTCATGAAAATAGCTCTCCAGGAGGAGAACAGGATTTTAAACTGATGCATTTAAAGACCTGTAAGTCCATCTCTGAAGGGCTCAAAAATACGTTTTAATTATGGCCAAGTCACAAGCTGGACTTTAATTTAAATTAATTGGCATTAAGGTAAACAGGCTTTTATGAGTTCAAACCTTTTCATGGCAGGATAAAGGAATTCTGTGTACGAGAATTAACCAGAATACCTGCCCTTTAAAGACTTGATTTAATACCGGGAACTGAAAATCATCACCACATCCCTATCTTACAGGGAGTGAAGAAAAGATAAAGGATGGTGTGAACAGTTAATTGAATGATGTACTACTGTAGCCAAATAGATTGGTTCTATTCAATATCATGCTATCTTAAGATAAATTTATAGAAGAGGCTTCTTTGCTATCATCAAACACATCGTCACTCCAAAGAAACCTTAAATTTAAGGGTCACCTCTGGCAGCAGAAAACTTTCATCACTGGAACTAAAACATCTGTTGGAACGTTTTGAACCTTTTTTAAATAAACTTTGCGCAGTTGACAAAAAAAGCATACAGTCTGAGTCAGTGCTCACACATGGTGTCCATCCAGTGGCACATGTTTGTTGTATGTGGAGCCAGTGTCCTGCACTGGAGGAAAGAGTTGCCATTGTGTGTAATTCTTCCCAGATGAAGAGGGTGTGTGGTGCCATGTCGACACATTAAAAAGGACTGCAAGCTACAAAACTGTAAACACATGAAGCTTTGCCACAACCGCACACTAACTCCAGTGGTCAATGGCTAATTTTATGCACTGTAAACATTCAGAAATACATTATATAATAAGGTTTTAACGTTAGGTGATTTGAAAACATACGCGGTATTTGTTTTAGACCTCTGATCTTTCCGGGTTTTCATCCAGATATTTCAGCGGGTTGAAAAACTGCAGTACATGTGGCTCCAGAAGTGGAGAATATCTTAAAATTGCCCCACAGGCCACAAACACGCTTCCTGTGAACTTCAAAGCTTGTTCCTTAACAAGTTATATATGAAATCTTGAAAGAAATTTCCATTTGTTCTTGTCATTAAGGTTCACCTTAAACTAGCCTTAATGATCGCAGTAAAACCATCACACAATAGCACACTGAAAGCGAATGTCCTTTAGAGCTTGATGATCCTGACACTCAATGTTTTGCTTTTTGTTATCCGTCTGCTTAATTTGTTGCTGAGCAACACAGTTGTTGAAATAAAAAATGTCCTTCTCTTAAAATTGGGAATATCTGAAAAAGCTTTTGTCTCTGACAAAATTTCCACTTTCAATCATTTTTTCTAAACACAGTCCTTTAATTTAACTTTAAAGGTATAGATAAGGATTTCAGGGTGGAATCATCAAAATAAGTGGTCCTCCTATTTGTCAGTCATTCTGGCGATATGTTTACATAAGGCCATCCTACGTGCTCGTCCCCCATTTTCACTTAACGTTGGTGAGTCTGACATAGTGGAAAAAATGTAAATTTTCTATGGGAAAGTAAGCTATGAGTGATGCAAACAGCGACTTTTAAACAGAGCATGCACAAGGAGAAATTGGATTGTGCATGCTCTCACACATGTTTAACAGGCTTTCCCTCTCCTCGTGAGCGGGTACAGGGTTGTGCATGTGCATTTTTTTTTTAAGTGGAAAGGGCGGGTCTTTTCAAAAATCATGAAAATCATCCACTATACCTTTTAAAAAAACAATGGCAATCATTTTTAACAACGTAATTTTGATTTTCTGATTTACTTGTTGTTGTCCTTTTATAATTGAACTTATTCTCCAATTGTCCTTTTCTTTTTCTTTTTGGAGATATTTCTTTTTTCCTTAACAATTCATAACACAGTTGTCAGTTATTTTTTCTTATCTTTTCTTTCTTTAAATGGCTACCCTCAACACACGTCTGCCTATCGACAAAAATAAAAATCTCGTAGAAATGTGCATTTTCTCACAACAGTGTTGTGTTGGAAAGTGACACAACATATGAAAATCAGCACGGAAAGTTATATTTTTCTGTAATTTCTCATAAATGCTTCATTGTTAGGTCATACAACTAAATCTGAATTCATTTTGAGCCTTTTCTATATCTTAACAAAGAGAAGAGGGTTGTGAGTATAGGGAGTGTTACATGTAGCAGTGAACCACAGACTTCTGTTTGGGCTTTTTTATTTATAAAATCAGCATCTAATCTTTGTCAGAAATGGTATAAAAGGCCCAATTCTGAAGTTTGAGGAGCCAGAAATATTGAGTTTGAGGTAAAATGATTAATCTAACTGATTATTAACAGTGCCTCCAATATTATATTGGTACATTTTCCTCAGTTGTATTCTTCTGTCTTATAAGATTTATTTAAGTCTAATATTTAGGCCAAAAATAAAATACATTTAATCTTAATCAGGTCATCAACCCTTACCTGAGCATAGTTCTCCTTTGTATCTCAGGCAGTTGAAGTCATCACACTCACACAGATTCCCCCACACCTTTCCAAAGTCGCTGCTGTGGCACACACACTGACCGCACACACAGTCACCGCGGCCACTGCAGACGGCTCCTCCGGACCCTTCAGGCCCGTTACAGCGGTCCTGCTCCATGGGGTTATAGTCACCCTCTGCACACTCGCAGTATGGCCCTAACCTGCCGGGGTGGCACAGGCACATGCCGCACTCATAGGTGCCATTCCCGTTGCTACATTTAGGGCTGTTTAGCTGGGCTTTGCTCTGGCACTTGCAGTCACACTCAAAGGTGACAGTAATGGAGAGGGAGTCCTTGAAGCCCACAGGCTTGATGATGAATGTTTTCTTCTTTTGTTTGGGACAGCCTCGAGCACGGGCCTCCACGCTGAACGAGACCTAAAGGACAGAAAGATTGATGTTCACCAAACTAATGCTCATTTTACACCATTATTAAATCGATTTCATAAGGAAGCATTTTAAAAGGAATGCAAAGAATGCAAAGAAAAGCACAAAGTTAATGTAGTTGTTTAGTGAGGTACTGGATCCATATTTGGTTGATGTCCAAAAGTGGGCAGTAACTACATCTGCAGAGAGATCCAAATATGGAAATATTATCAGAGCCAGAGAGAAAAGAAAATTTGTGGAGGGGCAGAATGGGTCACTTAAACTCAGGAAAGAACAACACAGACTCAAATTTAAGTTAGTAACAAAAAGAATAAAGGTCAACTTTTAAAGCAGACATTTAAATCAAGTATTTTGGCCCAGAAAAAAACAGACAGGAGAGTGAAGACTGTTGATCTGTTCCTTCCACAGTCTGCTCCTTGACAGCATTTGGAAAGAAAATGAGAAATCCATTTTAAAATAGATGTAGATGGTGTACTTAAGGGAAATGGAAATATAAGGAAGACATTTTCCAAAATAAAAGCAAAAATAGCAAATAGAACTATGTATGTTTTTTATTAGCTCCTTATAGTATAAAGGTAAACAAAATACCAACATTTTTTACTGCCATTTAGTAATTATTGACCTTTGCATGCTAATTATAGGATATAGAAGTTACATTTAATAGTGGTTCCAAATGTCTGACTCTGCCTCATTAAATAGAAGATATTCAGTAAAATTTAAACCACAAATCCTCTACTTTGGTTCACTTTGTCCTTCCAAATCAGACACTGATCCGCTAATATGATGGGCTTTCAGATCATTAAGGTCAATCTAAATGTGCAGCAGAGCTCTTTCCAAACAGCTTAAGACTTGGGATATTAATTTTACATGCTGTTGTTTTACTTTCAAAGTTTTTTTTAACTTTCTTCTTTTTCTTTACCATCCTTATCCTCTTTATGGAGACAACAAAAACACTGGACCTGATAGATCTTTGTCACCAATCCTCTTGCTATAAAAATCAGACTAGTGCTCAGACTGTACATATGGATAACAATATGCAAGGTAACATTTTCTGTCTTCCTAAGGTTAACACATATCCCTTATGTAGGTATTACATTTGGCTTTCCCATGTTGAAGAGCCGCTTAAACAACTCTCTGTGTTACATCATATTTCATCCCGCAAAACAGGAATTCATAGATTAGGTAGCAAAAGTTCACAGAATATCACCCACATTGCAAAAGGTGTTTAATTTAGAAACATTTTTTTAGGAGACTATGGGATCTTCAAAAAGTTTGACCCAGTGATTTTCAGCACAGAAAAAAACTTTAGAACCCAACATGCAGTAATGTGCTAAATTTAAAGGATTTTTTCTGTTATTTTCAGTATTTAAATGCTCTTTGCACCTCTATACAAGTAGTGCCGACAAATTACTTACAACTCTATATGGAATTTTAGGAGGAAGGAAAGTGAAAGGTTGGTTTTAAAATTTTTCTGACTTTTTGACAAATTTTTATGCGCAGTTTCCTTTTTGCTATTCATCCCTTCATTGCTTATATTTAAAGGAAAATTCCGGTTTTTAACACTTTTAGCCCATTTTCTGTAGTGTCCAGGATGAAATCGAATGATCGATACCAAAATTTTGACAATTGGTCCTGTCTCTGCTATTTGGCTCATGCAGAATCCCCCCCTGGCTGCTTCAGAATGGCTTCCATAGTGCATGTCCGATAATGTCCTTAAAACAACCTTAAACGTTCTTTTTTTAATATATGCTACTCACCGGGTCGTCAGCGCTGTTCAATGACGTTCCAAAAAAAGTTTCGTAAAGAAAAAACGTTCCTGTAGTCTTTTATTTAGCATTTTGTAAATCCCATTGAGTTCTGTTGGAATAGTCAATATCCCTCCGCCACCGGAAACGGAAATGGGGCCTGTTTACACTTAGTTGTAGTCTTTTCGCAAGGCCCAAGTGTTTCTGCTTCACTCTGTGTACTCCGACGTCGAGGTGCTAAGGTCTCTGTTAAACACTTTAAAAAACTCTGAAAATGGAATACGAAAGGTGGATTCTTGAGGAGGACATATTGGACTTTGAGTTTGACGGTAGAGGATACCGTCGCCAGCTAGTGGTCTGGAGTGTGCAACGCTTCAGATTCGAACGGGAAGCGGAAGTTTATAAGCGGTTGTGATGTATCGGAAAAAATAGTTCTGGGATTTACAAAATGCTAAATAAAACAAGACAGGAACGGTTTTTCTTCACAAAACTTTTTTTGGAACGTCATTGAACAGCGCTGACGACCCGGTGAGTAGCATATTTTAAAAAAAGAACGTTTAAGGTTGTTTTAAGGACATTATCGGACATGCACTATGGAAGCCATTCTGAAGCAGCCAGGGGGGGATTCTGCATGAGCCAAATAGCAGAGACAGGACCAATTGTCAAAATTTTGGTGTCGATCATTCGATTTCATCCTGGACACTACAGAAAATGGGCTAAAAGTGTTAAAAACCGGAATTTTCCTTTAATCCATTTATCACAAAGAAAATTAGACTTTAGAGTTGATCTTATTACAGCCTATAAATTCATAGACAAGTATCTTAACATCGTGCTGATGAAGATTCTCAGTCATCCAGGTCATACTCATTCTGTAAAAGTTCAAAAAATATCCCCTGGACTTGGTTTCCAAGATTTGAAGCCGTTTCGCCACCTCTCCAGGAAGCTTTCTTAGACATTTGAATTGAGAAAGCTTCCTGGAGAGGTGGCGAACCATCTTCAAATCTTGGAAACCATGTCCAGTGGATATTTTTTGAACTTTTACGGAATATCTTAACAACTTGACATAAATCATTTTTAAAGTTTTTTTTTTTCTATAATCAGTCGTAGAGTTGAATAATACATATTTAATTGATTCTTCTTGAAAATCATCCATACTGGCAAATAGTGGTGTCACAGTGGACTAACCGTGTCCCCTATTTTGTGCCCAGAGCAGGACTTCATGCCTGGGATGAGTTCTCCATTCAGACAGGTGGCGTTAAAGGACAAGGACAGCTCCTCTGGGACACCCAGAAGCTCCAGCTCCACCTTAGAACGAATTTCCTGACAAAAACACAGAACAGAAAGAAAAAGGTTTAATTTCCTCTACAGAAAAATACCAGTTGTTGTACAATCTTTGTGGCCTCAAGTTACTGCTTTAGTTTAGACACCTCTAACTATTTATGTTGAACCCTTTATGCTCCTGCAGGTTCTTTAAAAACATTTATTGTTTTAATCTACAGGTATTCTCTCATCTATCATTTTTCTGCTTCATGGCTTTAGGTCAAACATAAATGTTGAATAACAGCCAGGAAACACCAACATTTGGTCAGATTCACACTTCTTCAGAAGCTGTGGCATTTCCACTGAGACTGTGGCTCAGTGCACATGACTCACACATCATGGGTGTGGGTCAGCAAACACATGTCATCTCCTCAAACATTGTCTAGCCAAGGTTTTGTGTGTGTTTGTAAGAGTGTGAAAGTGTGTATTTATGTGACACTCACTGCGTAAGCTTTAAGGATGAGTTGGATAACGTTTCCAGAGTCGTTTGACAGCGTTCCTACTGTGGTGCCGGGAATAAGCTCACTGTAGTTCTGCAATAGACAGAAAAAGATGGAGACTTTTGTTTTCTAGTTACACAATGATGAGGAGTTTAAATGTTTCTTAAGTGTATCACATGTTATCTAGTCTATAAATTAGAGCAACAGTAATAGTTGACAAATACATCTATTTGAAATAACCATAAAAGGCAGTGTTAAAACAGACACCATTGAATCATTTATACCAAGGTATGGCATTCTGGTTTCCATTAGCCTCTGCGGTTCATTTGCTAAGAGGGTTGCCAAAACACACACACAAATATACATGAAATCAGACCCTGAGTAATGCTTTGAAGTGTGTTCATCCTTGATTCTAAAACGGAACAGCCTGTAAAACTCTATCAATACTTTCCATTTTGATCACAAAAAGCTTCCTCTCCGCTGCACTCCTTCACCTAGATTTTAGCAAAAAGCTCCCCTCCCATAGGGGTTCATCTTTTTAGATAAATGTAATCTAACCAAATATATACTGCATTGCCCAAATATAACCCTTTGGGGGGAAAAGTTTGTCCCTAAAAAGCAGAAGCAAATCTTGATTGTGGTTATCAGAGTGGAGAAAGTCTGGAGAAAGTTTGGTCCACAAGTCCTTTGAGAATTTTATTAATTCAGCCACACTGGAGTACTTTCAAAAATAAACTGACCAAGATCTTAATGTGCTTTTGTTTTTTTGTTTTTTTTAGCTATTCAGAGGTTGACCTGCTGCAAAACCCAAGTGAGCTTAAACTTATTGATCAAACTGATCGAAGATTTTCTGCAAAAGAGAAGAATTCATCATTTTGTGAATTATGACAAATTACCAGTTTATTCTACTAAAACCACTGTGGGATGATTTTCTTTGTCTGCAATGCAATGATAGTTTTATGCCAGCTGTAAAGTGATGCAAGCTTTTTATAATGTTCTACCTAATTATATCTGTACAGAGATCATTCCCCTTATACTCAGCAGTGCTTTTTGACTCAAACTCTCCAATAAATGCAAATTTTTCTTAATTCTTTTCCTATTCTTCATAATAAACACTAAACCTAAGGGGTGAGTGACACCTGGAAATTGTGAGATGTGGTAAGGGTCTATGTTAATCCCTGGTTGTTGATCCACTCTTGGATTAATTTTGGTAGATTGACCTTTAAATGTTCATTGTTCCACCACTGTGGCTCACTAGGGACCTAAAACCTAGAAAGGACCAAGCAACCCTTAATTGTAAAATGAAAATATGCCAGTGACTTTATGCCTAGTTTGCTTTGTTATTGTGACTTAATACGTCTACGTTTCTGTCACAATAATCAGGCGTATTCATGGTCTCTAAAATCCAACCAGAAAAGAGGTTAATCACAGTAAATGTAGTTTTTAATAAGACGGTTAAATATATATTTCACATGGTGGCAAGGATTGGGATTTTTTTTCCCTTAACATCTTAAATAAAAATTGTTTTTACTAAAATAATATTTCAAATTAAAACAAAAAATAAAGCTGTAAGGAAAATATTTTTTTTATGGTTTGAAAGTATTTCTGTTAGACACTCTCGACTCTAGAGTTAATAAGGATTTTTAAAGAACACTCCCACCTACAAAGGCCAGGTAGTGATAAGATCAAACATAAATACATATTCTTCAGCATTTATTTCTGAAAATTGTTTCTCCAGAGCATTCCAACTTTATTTCCTTGGGACAAAAGAATAAAATTTGACTGCTAGGTCCATCTAATGGCAATAAAACCCTTTCCTAGTGTTCTGCAGAAATTGTTTTAAGACTGTGTTTACATGATGGATGGTGAGAACACCCTCCTCTCTCCATATCTAAACCTCAAAAGTTGTGTTATACTCAGGATTTATTTGATAAGAAAGCATCAACATGGGTGAAAGGGGGGCATGCTTACATACCAAGTAAATCTCAGTCATGAAGGAATCTGTACTCACTATTGCTGTAGCAGCGTATTTGAAATGCTTCCAGCTTAACAGTCCAAAAAAGTTATAGGTTTGCCCTTTTCAGGAATTCTATGTATTCTCAGGTGCCTTAAACACACAAGAACATGTCCAAGGTCTTTACTCGAAAACTGCCACACTTATTCCAAATCCTAAGAAAAGAACAATTTTTAACAAAATATAATTTCAGTTTGACCATTTCTAGAGTGCAACATCACTCATGGGATGTGACTGTTTAGTTTGATATCCAAGGAGAATTGTTTTCAGTTTTAAAAAGTACATTCATTGATGGTAAAAGAGGGACAATAACTTATGGATACAAAAGCACAAAAACAAATTTTCTATTCTGTCCCATTAAAACCATAAACTTCCTTTTATTTCCATCAGTTTTATTTCACATTACAACAACACACAGCACATTTATGTATGGCTGGTGTTGGCCTAGTGGTTAGAGCAATGCCTTTATGTTCTGAGATGGTTGCAATCCCCACTGCATACACTTTGGGTTCCTAAGCAAAACACTTAACCTCACACTGTTCCCCAGTAACTACACAATGGCAGCCCACTGCTTTCCAAGGGGATGGGTTAAATGCACAGAGTGAATTTCCCCATTGTGGGACAATAAAAGGCCTTGACATATTTATGTAGGGAAATGTAAGAGTTAAAATCCCAATTTCTTTACAGTTTTTCCTTGATTTGAGGAGGTAAGTAAGACACTTTGCCAATGGAACAAGACAATTTCCTTTTAAAATAAGAAAAAACAATTTTATCTTCTTATTTCAAGTAAATATTATCTAACTATCTTATTTTAAGAGTGAAAATACTCATTCCATTGGCAAATCATCTTATTTACCTGCTCAAATTAAGGCTAAATATACTTAATTTAAGCATTTTTTTACTTATTTCTGGATTGTTTTTGCAGTGAGGTAGCTAATCTGTTTACTCACTTGATTCACCTGCCATGCCCTCCCAGCTCTCTAAATAGCATTCGTCTTATCCACCTGCTCCTTCTGCCAGATCATTATTCATGTTTGTTTGATGTATTGCTATTTCATTAGTTTGAGTTATTCCATGGTTCATGTTCCCGTCCCTAGGGGCCAGTGATTCTGGCGGGTTTTAGTGGTTGTCTCATGTCTCCTGATCGCGTCCCTGCTCTTCTCCACTGAGCCTGTTATGGTCTAGTTTGGCTTGGCATGTGGGGGCAACTTGAGTCCTGGCTCTACTCCAAGGAGTCCACTCGTTGTGGAACGGCGTGCGGGGTGAGCCAGATTTAAGTCCTCTGATCCTGGCCCCTGGTTGGAGCCAGGTTTAAAGTTCTGCAGTTCTCCTGGTACCATGTCTTGCCTCTGTTCCTCTCAACCACTTGGCACGCCTGTCTCCATCTAAACGTAATTGTCTGAGCTCACTGCTGAACTCATGGAACTCTTAACGTATTCATCTTTTCCTGTTTTGAAGCCCTGGTCAGGCTACGGACTCATGGGTCTCTTTCCTGACCTTGATTCAGCGTTGCAGAGAGGAGGGACTGAACTGTTAAACCAGGTAAGTGACTCACAGAGACAATCATCTTCTGTCAGATTATCATGGTCACTTACCTGTGTTTCTCCCACAACCAGTGTGCCAGTGATGGATGTTACCCCGCCTCGCCCGCATGCGCTGCATGTCCGCAGATCCACAGCAGCCAGCGTTTTGTTTCTGTTCTGTTTTTCTTTTGTCATTAAATGTTTTGAAACTTCCTACTGTCAGTCTCTCCTGAATACTGGGTCCATTTGCCCCGTTTTATGACAGCTGTATGGATGAGGAAAATTTAACACCACTGCATAGTTTTCTCCTATGGTCGAATCGCATTCATGAGAGAAAGGATTGAAGCAACGCAAAGGATATGTTTCTAGCGGAACAATTAGGGCGAAAAGAAAACTGCTGAGGATGAAATGCAAAGTTCACTGCAGTTCAAATACTTGATCGGTTCTGTCAATCCACATTTTGTTCAACAATTAGAGACTGGATGCTGTTGTGATGTGGGGTGAAGGAGCAGAGAGATGAGGCTTTTTTAAGTCAAAATGGAAAGTAGAAAGTATTGATAGAAACATTTTTTGTACCTTTCCTCTGCCTGGCCTTTTTCTCTGATTTACAGCTGTCTTTCCTTAATTCCAGAGCAGCGCATGGCCTGCATCCCTCAATATTGTTTCTTTATCAGTACTTAATATAAAAAATATATTTACTTCTATCACATGTATATAAAAACTAAGGCTCTACATTTCAGAACCTGAGATTGTTTTTTTTTTTCAAGACGATTTTTCAAGGATTTGTTTGCAAAGCAAGGAAACTGCTGAAAATGTCGAAAAATAAAGGATCAGCTGAAATGATCTGATTCTTTAGCAGCTAGGTTTATCCTTTTTCAGGGGTTATGGTGATTTCATTGTATTGGTTCTGAACTGACCTTGTAAAGGGACACCACAGAGTTTGTTACTGCAAAGATGAGGTTGATGTTGTTCTCTGACATCTTCTCTGTGATCAAAGCAAGGGATGGATAATCCTGTGGGACAAATCAGACAGTGCTGTTAGGTCACACAACATTCAAACATTTTGCAAGAAATGCCTGCGCACATTTCTGTTTGTCAACCCCAATATGTGCTTACCATAGTGGTTGACATGCTGTACATATTGTCAGAGTTCAGATGGCACTCTCCATCGTTGGGCCGCACGATTCCAGCAAGTCGACCATCTAAAGCTACATGGGTTTTAGCATCTGAGGTAAAAATCAGAAGGTGCGAAGCACCTGGACGCCAGCCGATCTGCTCCTAATTCACACACAGGGGGAAAAAAAATGATTTTCAGAATGCATATTAAAATCTAAGTAAATGTGTCTGAGGCAGCAAAAGTGCTTGCATTCATGCGGTGTGTCTCTCCACCTTGCACACAGCAGCCTGGATGATTGCATCGAATCCTCCCTCGGGGGCATCTCTGTTCCTGGACACAATCTGTTTCTTCACCTCCTCTGTGAAGCGGCCAACTTCCTCCGTCAGAGACAGCACGTGTTTGTAGCCAAACTGGGGCAGACAGGTGGTATTAATGCTGTCAATTGAAGAGAAATCAACTTTTTAATTCATGTTCGTGTTAACCCACGGTGTCAGGTTTGGGTTTGTTGATTTTAACATAGACTTGTTCTTGTTTTTTTTTCTTTCAAGGTTTGGTGCGATGTTTCGTTGTTTAAATCTTAAAATGTTTGCTTTGTACAAACTTTTGTTACTTCCTTTTTTATTTCCCTTAGCATTTTTCATCGCCAGATGTTTCCTTTAGTTCCTTTGGTCTCTGTCCTGCCAAGCATCAACTCTACTGTGTGCAATATTATCTTTTATCAGTTACCAGTCTGTTTTTTATCTTTCTACAGTTCCTCTTTTTTTAGCCTGGTATGGGTTTCTCTTTTCCAGCCACATGCTTCTAAACCAACCCAATGCAGTTGCGAACCAAGCCCCCGTGCTTCAGACCTCCATGCCAACATTCAAGATTCCTCGAGATCTTATGCAGTATAGTATGTTTTCAATGACTTGAAAAATACCGTCATGACCTATGAGCACTGAGTGTCACCCAAAGTAGAAATGAAACCAGTGAACGTAAACCGAGACAGACCGAACAATAACATACATAAGTTACTGAGTGATGATAGCATGGCCTATTGAGAAATGCTAACATTTATGAAGGGGTAAAACACAAAGATTTTTGTAATAACATACAATCAAATCCATGAAATTGTGAAATTTTATACTTTTATGATTATTTGTCTTCTATAGAAAATATTTTATGCTTACAAATGTGCTTTTTTTTTCTCTTGAAATTGTAATTTATATTAACTGATCTTGTTAGGAATCCAGTTTGTGTGGGTTGTTTGTGTGTTTTTCTCTCTCAACCACCACGTGGTTCCCTGTCCTCGTTGGGCCTCCCTGCACACCTGCGGCTCATTGGATCATTATCTGCAGGAGTATTTGAGCAGTGGGCTGTCACTACCTCAACGCCAGAGTGTTTGCCAGTTTTGGGAAGCCTTCCTGTGAAAACTGGATACCTGGACCTTCTCCCCCTGGAAGAAATAACTGAGAATGCACTGAGCAGGGGAAAACCTCCACATGATTCGTTCAAGTCTCCAATGAGTATCCTCTTCTCTGGAAGATCCCACACAGACTGGATTTAAGGATTGACAAGAACCCCCTGAAACGTGAGTCCCGCTCCACCTTTATTCAAGTTTCAGTCAAATTTCCCACGGTCCCTGAATTGATCACTGTGGTCTCCCCTTTGGACCTTCCAGTTCCGGTTCAACAGTCCACTAAGTTCCAGATCCAACTCCTGTACTCATTACATCAAATAAACCTGTCAAACTTTTCCCTGTGTTCTCTGAGTGGTTTCTCTGCATGTGGGTCAGATTCCTTTAACTGATCATGACAGATCTAACATTTCCGTTATTTAAGCATTTACATCAACAAAAAACTATTTTATAGTATTACATTTATATTTCTTGGGTCATGATTTCATGATATTAGTTTTCTTTAATCATTTCTATTACTTATCTAGATGGGGAAGACATGTTATGATAACCATTATCAAAACTCTGCTGAGTCTGAATTAAAATTGGCTCAACTTTTCTCATACCTCATCGAAAATAGTTTCTATATTCATGCTGCTATATGTTTAGGCTGCTGGAGGACATAGGGACGACTTATAATTGTTCTCCAGTATTCATTAGTTCCTCCCATAATGTGATGTTTTTTCTCATAGTAGCTTTGTCTGTTCCTGTTTAACAGTGACTCTATGCTGAAATGAGAAGTAATATGTGCTGCTGTCATCAACACCTTTGTTTATATTTTCATCTGTTTTTCAGTGTAGTCCTTTTTCTCTTACTATGAACAACTGTATGTTCTCTCTTTTATCTAATACAAGTGAAAATTGGTACTGCAAGCTAATTGATCAGGTGCATACTTTGCAAGTTAATTACTGGATGCAATCAACTGATATTCCTTGATAGAAACTCTTAACCAATCTGAGTGTTTGATCTGACTTTATTGTCTCTGTAAAGTGCCTTAAGATAACATTTATCATAAATTGGTGCTATATAAATAAACTGAGTTAAATTTAAATGCTGTACGTACATAGCCTGCATGTGAAATTATGTCAGTCGGAGAAATAACCTAAACTATAGAATTTATTTACTCCTCCCTGCTTATTTAACTATTTTAAGTGCTATTTATTCTATGCATGACATTAATTCAATATGATTTAAGGAATCATGTTGACTAATGTGTTTACTCCTGAAAATATTTACTCAAATGGATATTGTGCAGATGATTTACTGCAATCTCCTCTTATTCATTCGATTTATGGCCGTCCCAAAGCTAAATGTATAAGGTTAGCTTTGTGTCAACGACGTAAATAGCAATTAGCTTGTTTATAGTCTTTTTTTTTTTTTTTTTTGCTAATCAGACTTTTCCAGTATATGAGTTGATATCATCACATTACAGCTTCTGTTTTAGGTGGGGCAGCTTCCAAATCAAGGCAAAACAATGTATACTCACCAGCTACTTTATTAGGAATGCCTGTAAAATTACTTGTAAACACAAACAGCCAAGTCAACAATTACCTGGCAGCAATATGAGTATTTAAGAACCTGCTGATCTACATGGATATTCAGACACAACCATCCATCTCTCATGTTTGTTATAAACAGACCAAATATCCAGTGAGAGGCATGTGCTGGATGGGAGCAGAGCACGCTAGGTTCCACTTCGGTCAGATAAGATAGTAACACTGGGGCTACCATTTACAAAGGCTAAGCAACATCACACAACAACATCCTGGAAAAATGTTTCATTCATCCACTATGTATTGTATCAATGGCCCAAGCTTCTTCTACTGCTTATGGCATAATGCTACAGGAAGGAGAGTTTCTTGGCCCTCTTTCAGCCCCTCTTTACCAGTTGAGCACAGTGTGATTTCCACAGCCAGAGATGTTTAGAGTACCCAAAAATTGTTCTCAAGAAAGAGTGAATTTTATCTGAGTAACTGTTGGATAATATCATCAGATTTAATCTTTATAAATGATCCTGGCCAACAGGCTTTATAAGCAGGTTATGGTGTTTTAAATACTCAAATGCTGAAAGAATACAAATAAATGTCATAAATATAAAAGGGCAAATTATTGGATAAGAAATATAAACATAAAACTTAAAAAAACAATCCTTACAAAGAAAACAATATATATGTTAGGACAGGGTAACAAACTTCCATTGTTTATAATTTCTCCTGTTTATATTTACCTGATTTTGGAATAGTTCAAATTACTCACAAAGGGCAGAGTAGTAAGATATTTTACTCAAGTAGGAGTAGAGATAATTTACAAGAATATTACACAAGTAAAAGTAAAAAATACAGAACAATAAACCTTCTCCTAAAAGTATTTTTTTCAGATTGTTACTAAAGTGAGGTAACTGAATAAATGTAAATAATTACTACCCACCTCTGTCCACAAGCATATCTGTCCCTTTATGACCACAATGTACCCATTTTTTACATGTTACAAGCAGCAGGATACAACACCATACCTTAAACCTCAAATCATTTCCAACTTTTTAGTCTGTCTTATCTTACATTGAAACATTCCCTTAGGCTAGTTCTTTTCAGACTATGTGTAAACAGAAAGTACATTTCTCCAACAGAGATTAAACCAACAAATCAATCTTAGAGAAGCTTCAGGGTGGAGTTACCTCACAGCAGCTTACTTGTAGTCAATCTTACTCTGGGGGTAAACTACCTGCGGCTGTTTCAGAGCAGCTGACCGAGCATTTGTGGGTGCCTAGCTGAGCCTTTAACGACTGCTGTGACTCTGACTGCTCTCTTGCTAAGCACTGCAGCGATTAAAGACGTCCTCACTGAAATGACATCATCAGTTTAATGGTGCTACATGCAGACATAAACAACCTGTGAGATCAGCACTGTTTGTAACATACTGTGCACTGACAAATCAAAGTCTAGATTTGAATACACTAAATGCGTCGAAAAAAGAAGCTGAAGTCAAAAATAACAAACATTTTGCAAGCTTTCATTAAACCCCAAAAGACATATGCTCCGTCATTAACCTTTTTTTTTTTTTTACTAAGCTGAGATAAACTTCCATAACGCTTTACACAAAACTTAGAATATTTGTGTTGTAGACTAGAGAAAACCAGTCACCATTTTACCCCCTTACAGCAGCACATTAATGAGACATGAAACTGTTTTGACTCCTTTATATTAGAGTATGTCTGCAAATAAAATGTTTTAGTTAAGCATGAAATACAAAAATAATAAATGAGCCCTATGTTATCCTGCTATTGAAAATATTTAATTAAAATTGTTTAAATTTGATCAAAGTTTAAAAACTCTTGCAGATTTATAAATGTTCGTTTATTAGTTATGTTCTAACTAAAACACCAAATGTTAATGAAATGTAAAAATGGAATCACAATATCAAAAATATCAATTAAATAAATAAATATTTTATGAATGATTGCTTTTGAGTACTCAGACCTGTCGTCTTCCGCTTTATCAATGACAGGGTTGCGACAGTCTTAGCAGAAATGCCCTGACTCCCCTCCAACACCAGAGACTTTTCCAAGCCTTCCTAGTGTATATTGTGCCTCCTCTTGCCTGGAAATGCTTGAAACACCTCCTTAGGCAAATGACCAGGGGGCATCGGTTTGAGCCACCTCATTTGACGTTTCGATGTAGAAAAGTGACTCCACTCTGAGCCTCTCCTGGATCCTATCTCTAAGGGAGTTCTCCCTTTTCCTATTGAGAACTTTAGACTCAATCTTGAAGACACACATCTTCATCCAGGCCATTAAGCTGCAAACTGATGCAGCGCAACAATCATAAAAATCTGAGAAAAAAATCTGCTGATCATCAAACTAGACCCCCTCCAACTCTTGGCTGCAAATATAAACCCTCCATTAAACTTGTGAGCAGGATCTATGACAGAGGACAGAGTCTAATATAGAATGGGAACAGGTCCAATTTATGCTGGCAATCTTGATCAGACCCCTGCTCTGGTTGTACAGAGACATGATGGCCCCTAGTAAAAGGCCCATGACTCCATATTTCTGAAGCACCCCGACAGGACACCATGAGGAACTTGGTCGAATTCCTTCTCAACTAGGCCTATAGGCTGAGGCAACAGTCAGAGAGCAGACTCTCAGAGTCAGAAGATGCACCAATGTGACTTTCACATCCACCGAAATAAACCCTGACATAAGACGGCTGAGCTGAGGAGGCACATGCAAACCCAAATCAGCCCTCTGCCTTTTCCTGTAGAGTAGAAGAGAAGTGTGCATGACCTAATTCGAGGAATTGGCTTCCTCAGCTCAGGCTGTGCATGGAGGTGAGCATGACTATTTCTGTAATCACACAACCTGCATTAGGTTGCCCCTGCCTCCAACAGTTGCCTGACCTTCTTTGCAGCGGTCCTTAGTGGTTCGCCTGCAGGTGGTTGGCCTACTACTGCATGGCCTTACTCACTTGTTCAGTTTTGTGCATCGCCGGTTCTCATGAGGAGTAATCTGACAACCGTGTGCTAGCGAATGAACCCCAACCACAGCCCCGGCTGTTGGGTGAACTCCCAGCTCTGCTGCACTGGGTGTCTTTCTAAAGGATTTTGAATATTTAACATTTTGATAGGCTTTACTGGGCATAAAATCCTATATAGAAATTAATATGTATAATTTGTATACTTAGTTTTTACTGAAAAAGTATCTTGAAAATATTTTTTTTTTGTCCTTAACATCTAAAACACCATTTAATGAGCAGGCTGTCATATCAGTGGTTCATCGCAGATGCATCTACAGTAAAAGCCTGTAGCCTGTTTTCTCCAAATGCATTTTGGATCGCAAGCGATCGAGGCGTTATATTCTAGATGGATCTGGTAGATACTCAGAGGCGACCAGCATCCGACTCAACTCAGACACCAATGGCAGCTCCACATTAGGGAAGAAAAAACTAACAAAAACTTGTAAAATACGAGCGTGAGCTACAAGAACAAGCAGAAGAGTGCTGAATACTTAACAGAGTATGCTGACTCTTTTTCGAGTTTAAAACTAATGTTCAAAACATTTAAAAGTGCAATTTATCTAAATACAGTTTCTTCAGTGTCTGCATTTGATCTGTCCTAAAATGAACATGATTATAATAAGAGATATTGTCAAAATTATTATTATTGTGATTAAGCTGGGTGGAGGATTGGTTAACCCTACCTGTAGCAGGGATTTTTCACAGCTGCCTCAGGTGAGATGTACATATACGGTGAAAGTGGTTTGTCCACAAATGCCCCGAAGCCCATGCGAAGGTTGCTGGTTGTTCGGTTCATGGCCTCAGCAATGCCTCGACCCAGTGTCCTCAAGCGGAAAAGGTCATCGTTCATTGAGTAGGAAAGGTCCATGAGGTAGTAAAGGTCAACAGGGTAGTCTTCTACCTGACGAACCTTTACTGTGAAGCGCTTTGCATCATCTGGAAAATATGTGACAGTTTTTAGCTGTGAGTTAATTAGTTAACATCACCTATAACTCTGTTTTAAAGGTAACCACCTGGTCTTAAAGTGATGTGCAGTTTCTGCGGCTTCATCTGGGTGACATCTTGGGTTGCTCCAGCCGCCTTGTTGCTGAGAGGCCGGTCCTCGATCACCTGGAGTCTGCTGGTTGGAGACTCTAGATTTGACTGATCACATCCTGCTGCAATCAGATTTTTCTTCAGATCGCAGCGTGATAAGCTGGCAACTCCATGGCCAAAGTCCTGATATCAGCAATAAAATGAAGCAGATTTAGTGAAACCCATTCTGAGCAATCATTTGTGGAGTTCCTGTCTATAACAGAGTTTCAGTGAAGTTAATTGTACGTAAAATAATTTTTTACCCTTAAAAAGTTCAACCAGTTATCATTGTCTCCCTTACATATCTTCTTTCTTTCATCTTCTCCCCTTTTTCCTTTCCTGTTCTACTTACAATGCAGTATCCATATAATCTGTATTACTCTCTGCATAATCATAATAAAGCTATTTATATGCATAAATCAAGCGGAACACTGTGGCGACAGCCGTACTGCTCCACTTGTGAAAGCAAAATCTGTTGGGCCCTTTTTTGGCATCAAGACAATTATTCTTATTGCCACATTGCCAGACAGGGGACTGAAAAAAAAAAAAGTTCAACCACAGCCTGTTGAGAGAAATAAGACTAAAATGTATAGATCTGTAATCTTTTTAGCAAATTGAAATGCTGCATCATTCTGAGTTTTAAAGTGTTATAGACCATGAGCTGGCACAATGAAACATGATTATGTCCATATGTGGTTGGGGGTTTTAAGTATCAGGGGACAGATGACACATTTAACAATATTCACTCTGCAATTTGCGGTGTCCCATGTAACTGACAGCTCAGTATCTCACGTTAAGAAATTCCCTGAGTTGATCCAACCAGGATTACTTCTGCTTGAGCGGGACCTCTGTGCCAGCCTGCATCAGCCTGGCAGCTTATTGCTTCCATGAAAGTGTAGCAGGAAAAGGTACCAACCTCTTTGAAACACCAAGCACAGCTGGGGTGCACAGCCAGACATTGCTTGCATGTACTGGCTCCTCTGGAGGTGCAAACGTTTGAGCCTGAATCCAAGAGTAGAAAAGTTATTTCTACAAAAAACATATATATTAATAAAAATCTGGCAGCTTCCAAAAGGTAAAATTTTGTTTCAACAAAGGGAAAGAGATTTTCCTTTTTTAAATTTTATTTTAAATAGAACAACAAGTGATGTAAATAAAGAAAAGAAAATAGAAACTTTCTCACATTTTGTAGGTCAAGACCAACCAATGTATTTATTGGTGTAATTAAACAAATGCAGACTAGTTCTGAAGGTAAAGGAAAGGGGCCAAAAAAACATTGTTAATTTTTAATTTTTTTTTAGCTGCTCTTATCAATTCTAGCTGCATTCTAGCTTGATATGTCTCTGCTGGCTATACACATCTGGAAACTGAAATATTTTCTAACTCTTTGTTGTACACCAGCTGAAGCTTGGCCAGATTGCAAACATGGTTATCTATGAACCTCCATTTTTAAGTCTTGGTTCCAATACTCAGCTGGATTTATGCATGGACTCTTACTAGGAACCTTTACAAAGGAAAATGCTTTGTTCTCAAACATTGCATCGAATCCCTTGTTTTTTGTCTGGGGTCTTACCAATAAAAGGTGAACCTCCACCTCAGTGTGAAGGTTTATGTTGCCTCTATCATTATGATTGTAGGATTTCCCTGCAGTCACAATATTGTAATTTGTAATCCAGAAAGTTCAATTTAGTCTTATTTATTTTTTTTTTTGCACATTTTCTTTGTTCCCCAAATGATTTGTTACAAACTTTAATGTGTGACTTTTTATAAGTTTCCTGTTACCACTTTTTTTTTTATAAATGCCTGATGGGTTGAGGTCATATAGAGATACAGATAAGCAGTTTCGTAAAACTGAGCTACAACACTTCCAGTTAACAGAAGAGTTTTTCCTGCTTCTCTAAGCAATGAATGCAGCTGCATTAAAAAAATGTGATAGAATCAAAGGGGGATTGATGCAAACATATTTCCTTTCAGTTACTGTAGATAGTGCTATGTGTTATCATGTGGTAAAACAGCATTCTGTGGGGGAAAAAAAAAAGAAAAATGTAACAAGCTTTGAATACTTTGAGGAAAGCTTTAAATGGAGTTACAAATGACAGCTAAAACCACACCATTTTTTATCTTGCTTTGGCTAGATAATAAGAAAACTCTGAATAAAATTAACCAAAGGGAACCATTAGAACTAAATTCAGTTAAAACTGGACAAAACTTGAAAAAATTCATTCCAGATTTTAGCTGGGTTTGTTTAGTTTAATTTTAAAATGCACCAAGATGAAATATGCTTCAAATTAGAGCTACTAATTGATCAAACAAAGCTGATCTGCACTCAATTTAACTCAACTTAACTAAAACCTCATAAAAACTTTGAGCAATGGAAAAATTTACATAATTTGGCAGAGTGGAGGAAATGTGTAGTTAAAAAGCAAAATAAAACATTTCATAGGCTTTAATACATATTTTACACTCATAAAAAGAGGGCATTAATAGTTTTTTCTGCCTATTTATGGGAGGTGAGAAAGTTTAGTCTTGAGCCTCTTTACTTCATTTTAAGATACAGTAAATAAACATAAGAATCCCTTAAACTATCTTCCGCTACCCTATAATAAGCCTTCTTATTCTCTTAGTTTTTAATAAGAATAAACAAGAACCTGAACTCACCGCTTGCCTTTTTTATCCCTGCAAACATTAAAACACTCATCCATAAGACCCAGTGCATTGGAAGAGCACCCATGCTGCAGCTGAGGGCTCTCTGATAGGATGCAGGCAGCCAGTGAACTGTGGTTTGAGCAGCACCAGTTGAAGAGAACAGGAAAAAACTTATCTGTGAGAGAAAACAACTCCAAATAGAGTCAGATGTCTAAAAGCCAGCCCTACTCTACTCTCCGCCTCAAGCTACCACATTCATTTCATTATGGAAATAGGCGGAGAAAGAGGAGCATTTAAGCTTTGAAAACCTGAAGATATTGACACGAATAATTATTAGAATAAAGTCAGAAATCCACAATTCTCTATATATTTATTCATATAATAGTGTTGTTGTATTCTGTATTCTCTATTGATTCTAGAATTAAAAAGGCTGCAAACAGAAAATAAAAAGAAAAGAATTAAATAATTTAAACATAAAAGTAAAAATATTTACATTTTCCTTCATTCATTTCACAAATTAGGACTTAAAATGAATATTAGGTCACTTTAGACTTCTCACAAGCTTTTGTTAGTTTGTTTTGAGAAGCACTACACTGGCCTCTGGTGTAAAGTAGCTGTAACTACGATAAAACTACAAAGCTGTCCCAGTACCCCAGACAAATCGGTCTAAGCACCTTAATAATCGAATGGCAGTTCCACTTTTTTTGTTGTTTTTTTTTGTTGAACAATTTGAAAATAAATATAAATATAGCCATAAGAAAACATAAAGTGTCATCCAAGGAAAGCTGATAAGAATAAATAAATAAAAAAGGCATGTAAAAAACAAAACATGAATTAGAAACTGTGGTAATGCTGATCAGTGCAAAGATATTTTGGGGGGCAGGTGGTCAAGCAAAAAAAAAAAAAAGGAAAAAAAAGGGCACTTTGTGTGGTGCATAGCGCTCACTGTCCTAGCAGTGTTTATTACGGACACAGCTTAAACATCATAGATGTAGCCTATTACAAATTAATAGGCATATTTTGTCCCACCAATATCTTTAATAAGATCTACAGGTTGGTTTCACCATAAAATTGGTAAAAACTGAACACAGTTTAATGAAAAAATAGTGTCAATAAAATAATTAAACAAAAGTTTTTAGATCCAGAAAAGGGCCACATTCTAAAGCTACACCGTTTTTTTTTGTTTTTTGTTTTTTTTTTAAAGGCAACCATCATTAGGGCCCTTTTTTTGGTACGGCATGAAAAGGGCAGGTGCTGTGCACGCCATTGTGTCTGATGATGATGACCCAAGTAATTGGGGAAAAAAAGACATATAGGGGCTTGGTCCATATATGGTCCATATAACGGCATTACTTTTTTCCAGCATCCTAATTAAGAAGAAAAAATCTTTTAGATTTCCAGCATTCTTTATTGTCATTACACTGTTACAAGTACAGTGCAACAAAGTTCATTCTCTGCATTTAACCCATCCCCTTGGGGAGCAGAGCTCTATGCCCTAACCACTAGGCCACCACTACCACTGAGATCACTCTGAAATACCTGCAACTTTGGAGAAACTTAAAGATCTACACTTATATAACATAAATGATAAAAATATTATAGCACAGCTATGTCAGGGGACAGGTTGACATGTCATGTCAACCTGCTGTGAGGTGCAAGTTGACATGACATCAAACCTTTGCCCCTTTCTTAAAAATAAATTTGTTGTTGCCATAGGAACGACTCTTTTTTCCCCCTTTCTGTTAGAGGGAAGAGGCCATCCCATTCACGTTTAACACCCCACGTACAATCCAGGCGCTTTCCACAGCTGTGAGTGTGTCTTTATAGAGTGACAGTTGATAGTTAAGAGTTAGTGGTCAGGGTGCAGTTTGGGATTCAGCTGAACATCCAGCCAACCCGCAGAACTTATATTTGAATGCACGTGTTTCTTCCTCTGTTAGTTGGCGTTACACCTGCTGCCAAATTCCAGTACACATGCAGACTTGCTGTTGAAGAGCTGAACGGTCCACTTGCCCCACATACTACATGGTTTGGAACAGGCGTTATGTGGCAGACCCTCCTCGGGAATGCGCAAACATGGGGAAATTATATAAGGATGAATCTTTGTCCTTGTTTTGTATTTGCAAGGCTCCTATTTTTAGAGTGCTTAAAACATGGTAATGATCGCAACATTTTAAAATAGTTTATATTTTTTCTTTTAATTCTTATTGCAGGCTGAAAATTTAACAGGCTGAAAATTTAGTTGGTAAAACTCAACATCCTTTCCTACTCACTGAAGGAAATGCTCACCAAATATTACCAGCCCATCATAACAGTCCTTCCTGCCATCAGTGAAATACCCAGTTATAAGCCTTCACTATTTAGCTCTTCCGACAGGGTCATGTTGGTTTGGACAACTTAAAAGAAAAAAATATAAATGCACATAAAAAAAAAAAAAACTCTTCCTCACCCATCGCAGGTGGTCTCTCTTTCTCCTCCAAGCTTGGTTCCTCTTGAGGGTTGAGGGTTCTGCGGTTCTGCGTTTTTTTCATTGCATATATATATATATATATATATATATATATATTTATATACTTTATTGCAGCAATGTCTTTATAAAGCTCAAAGCTTTTTTACAACCCTAATAATTGCAGAGAAAGCTTTGAAGTAATGACAAGTGGAATAATAAAAGACAGATGGCAAATAATTAGCAGAGAATAAATCAAGCACAAGAAAAACATGCAAGCTCAACAAAAACAGTCCCTTCTAAGATTCAAAACCGGAGCCTATTTGGCTGTGCCCCTGTGCAGCCCCCTGAAGGCAAGCTATTATTCAGAAAACAAAACAATTCACAAGGCCGCACAGCTATGCTAATGTGGAAGACGCAATGCCACAAGAGAAATGTAAAGTATTCCAAGCAGTCATGGATCATTCTAATGTCGTATTTTCAGCCAACACACTCAGTCGTCCTTTATTAAGTGAAGCTTCCAGAAGGAGGGAAATATAATACCAGTGCTATTATTAGCAAAGAAAAGGAAAGCTCAGTTGCACAACCAAAAGCTACCAAAAGTGTTTTTGCAGATGATTTTCATGTCTCAGAGTCCTATTTTTTAAGATAAAATACACTGAAATGACCAAAAAAGATGTTCATCACGCTTTTTAAACGTTGTATTGTGTGCTTAAAATTTAAGGAAAGCATGATTATTAAGGATCACTAGAGATCTTTACTAACAAAGTTTTGGTAGGGGTGGTGTTTATGCACAACCTAAGTATGAAAAAATATAGGGGTGGTTGGTTGGTTTGGACTTTGAGGTTTGGATGAAGTGATTATGAGTCTCTAAAGAAACATCCTCTGATCAGTCAGCCCTCTTTTCCTTGATTCTGTCACCATTTCCAAACTTCCAAGCCTTCAAATAGGCTAAAAGAAACAGCCTTGCCATATTGTTATATCAAACATAAACTATTCAAACACGACAAGCATTGACACATGAAGTACTTTCTAAAAAAGAAACAGCTGGCAGATTTGTCAGACAAATTCTGATGAGAAGCAATGCACAGATGGAAACACTTCAACTCTGCAAAGCATAATAAATTATAGAGTTTTACCAGAGCTACACTTTCTTCACTCAGAAATTGAAAAAAAAGAATAGTGCATTAAAACATGGTGCACAAAACCAGAGGTGGATAGTAACTTGCTATATTTACTCAATTGCATTTAATTTAACTTTTCGACAAAAGGGTTTTTTAAGGAGTAGTTTTACTGCACATTACTTTTTACCTATGCATAATATCTTTATAATATATAGCAACTGTTACCTGAGTAAAATGCTTGACTACTCCATCCACTCTATGTACAATCCAGTGGTGTACATAGAGTTTTGACATGCAGGGGCAGTAAACAAAAGGAGCACATAAAACATGTCCTGACCACTGTATTAACGTTTATTACTCAAGCAGAAGAATAAATCCTACTGTTGAAAAGATTTGTTTTTTTTTTCTTCTTAACTTTCCCACTTAATATCTGGTTAACCCACTGTGACATTTGGTGGACAAGAAAGTGACAGTAAGAAAGTACTGTAACTAGAAATACTCTACTCCATTCTAAGATGTTTACACATGATCTAAAACAGTTTTTCTTATGCCTGGTCTTGTTTTGTTTTTTTTTTCTTTTTTTTTTTCTTTTTCCAATTACATTATTAGTGTTGGGATTTGGATAAGGTTTGTTGACCCAAAAGCCGAGGCAGGGAGGCAGAGGTGAATTTCATGATGAGATTACTGAGAACAGAGGCAGGTTATACAAAAATCAAAACATGAAAATAAAGTCCCAAAAACAGGAAACCAGCAATCCAAAAAAATCCAAAAATCAAAACAAGATAACGAGTCAAGACAAACCAGAAACCATGGAGACATCAGGGGGATCACAATCACAAGGAGGAAGGCGCAAAGAAAAGGAGTTGGAGGAAGTTTGAAGAGGAACCAGCACAGATAACTGAACAGAGAGGGTATTTAAGGGAGACTGAGACAAAGAGAGGAGTAACGAGCAGATTGGGAACAGTTGTGCACATAGCAGAACAGAAAAGGAGCTAGGGAAAAAGCAGAAAACAAGAGGGCAGCAGAGGGCAACAAATAAAACCATAGAAAACTGAAAATAACTAGAAAACACAACAAAATAAGAATTAAACCACTAAGACTATAAAACATGGAGCAGAGTAAAGCTGAAAACTCAAAAGAAAAAACATAACAGAGCCAAGACTGAAACAGTGACTAAGGATTAACCAGAGAACACAGCAAAATAAAAATAAAACCACTAAAACTAGAAAAAAAGGAGTAAAACAAAACTGGACACTCAAAAGAAAACATAATAGAACCAAGACTAAGACAGTAACTGAGAAAAAAACGAAAGAACACAACAAAATAAGAATTAAACCATAAAAACTAGAAAACAATGAGCAAAGCAAAACTGAACATCCAAAAGAAAAACATAACAGAACCAGAACTCTAACAATTAGTTACTTTGAACCTTTACATTTTGATCTGTGTTGTTTCATAATTTTAAACAGTAAGCCCGATTTTATTAAGAGTCACTTAGTACTTGAAAAATGTTTTTACCAAATACGTTTTTACTCTTACTTGATAAAAACATGATAAGTAGTTTTACTCTTAATTGTTTGGGTGCTCTACCTACCTCTGC